CATAATAGGCTTTTTCGCCTCTTTTCCGAGCCTCCTCTACAGCTGGCCACAACTTGCTGCAGGTTTCTCTGTCCGCTGCCATCACGTCCTCCTTGAAGTGGAGCCGGTTGTTCTTCAGGTTGTCGCACTTCTTGGTTCCATTCCATAAGGTATCTTATGCAGTTCTGTATGTAAACCTGATGATCACTGCTCTGTATGTGTTGCCTGAGGCCTGAGCCTGAGGTTGAGTCTCCAGTTGTAGTGGTCTGCTTCATCCATTGTAAATTTGAGATCCTCAACTTTTTTTTTTCAGGAGTGAGCACTGATCCTTTAGAACGGTATTTTGCTGCTTTAAATCTGCTACCTCTTTATGGCAGAACTCCAGAGACTTCTTCAGTCTGAAGTGTATTATATTTGACAGCTTCATCAGTTTGGCCGGCTCTCTCGTTTATCTTTCTAGTTACATGAAGATGAAAGTGATCCATCAATTCCATCCATCTATTATATTCCGCTTATTCTGAAGCCAGGTCGCAGAGGCAGCAGCTTCAGCAGGGAGGCCCAAACATCTCTTTCCACAGCCACCTCTTCCAGCTCTTCTGGGAGGATTCCAAGGCGTTCCCAGGCCAACCGAGAGACATAGTCTCTCCAGCGTGTCCTGGGTCTTCCTCGAGGTCTCCTCCCAGTCGGACATGCTCGAAGCACCTCCTTAGGGAGACACCCAAGGAGCATCTTTACAAGATGCCTGAACCACCTCAACTGGCTCGTCTCGATGTGGAGGAGCAGTGGTTCTACTCCAAGTCTCTCCCTGATAACTGAACTTCTCACCCTATCTCTAATGGAGAGTCCAGCTACCCTGCAGAGGAAACTCATTTCAACCGCTTGTATCCGTGATCTCATTCTTTTGGTCACTACCCAGAGCTTGTGACCATAGGTGAGGGTAGGAACTCAGATCGACTGGTAAAAAGAGAGTTTTGCCTTACAGCTCAGCTCTCTCTTCACCACAAAAGACCGGTACAGAGTACACAATACTGCAGACGCTGCACCAATCCATCTGTCAATCTCAGGCTCCATTTTTCCCTCACTCCTGAACATAACCCCAAGATACATGAACTCTTCCACCTGAGGCAGAACCTCACCCTTGACCTGAAGAGAGCAATCCATCATTTTCTGGTTGAGGACCATGGCTTCAGATTTACTGGTGCTGATTCTAATCCTAGCTGTTTCACACTCGACTGTGAACCGCTCAACTGAGAACTGAAGATCACGGCGCAATGATGCCAACAGGACCACATCATCTTATGGTATCTGTTGATTTTATAGCTTTTTATGCATGTATGTGTTAGTGTACACCACTTTGGACAATGGTGTTGTTTTAAAGTGCTTTATAAATAAAGTTGTATCGTATTGTATTGTATCTTCAAAGAGCAGAGATGGAATCCTGAGGCCACCGAACCGGATTCCCTCTTTCCCCTGGCTACACCAAGAAATTCTGTCCATAAAAGTTATGAACAGAACTGGTAACAACGGGCAGCCCTAGCGGAGTCCAACTCCTACCCTGAAGGGGTCCGACTTACTACCAGCAATGCGAACCAAACTCTCACACCGCTTATATAGGGACTGAACAGCCCGTAACAACAGGCCCCCAATCCCATACTCACGGAGCACCCCCCACAGTGTACCTTGAGGAGCACGGTCAAATGCCTTCTCCAAGTCCACAAAACACATCTAGACTGGATGGGCAAACTCCCATGACCCCTCGAGGACCCTAGTGAGGGTAAAGATCTGATCCAGTTTTCCATGGCCAGGACAGAACCTACATTGTTCCTCCTGGATCTGAAATTCGACCAGCGATCAGACTCCCTTCTCCAGTACCCTGAATAGACTTTACCAGAGAGGCTAAGGAGATCAATGCCCCTATAATTGGATCACACACTCAGATCCCCCTTTTTCAAGAGGGGAACTACCACCCCAGTCTGCCCATCCAGTGGCACTGCCCCCCATGTCATCATGGTGTTGCAAAGACGTGTCAACCAAAACAGCCTCACAACATCCAGAGGCTTAAGGAAATCAGGGTGAATTTCATCCACTTCTGGAGCCCTGCTGTCTTTGAGCTTTTTAACTACCTCGGCAACCTCAGCCACAGTTATGGAGAGGCTACCCCAAGTCCCCCCGACTTAGCTGGTGGGATTGAGAAGGTCTGAGAAGTATTCCTTCCACCTCCCGATGACATCACTGGTTGAGGTCAACAGCACCCCACCTTCATTGAACACAGTGTCAGTAAAGTGCTGCTTTCCCCTCCTCAGCCGCCTGATGGTTTGCCAGAATCTCCTTGGAGCCGACCGAGAGTCTCTATCCAAGGTCTCACCGAACTCCTCCCACATCCGAGCTTTTGCCTCAGCAACAGCCAAGGCTGTGGACCACTTGGTCCTCCGGTACTCCTCAGCTGCCCCCAGAGTCCCACCAGCCAACAAGAACCAGGTCTCTCTTTCAGGTCTCTCTTGTAAATGAGTCCACGAGGCTCAATGGGATTAACCTGTCTAAATAAAGATTGAATGAAACTGATAGGGGGCAGCACAGTGGTGCAACTGGTAGAGCTGCTGCCCCCTGGTTCAAATTTCGGTCCGGGGGCCTTTCTGGGTTGAGTTTGCATGTTCTCTCCATGCATGCGTGGGTTTTCTCTGGGTACTCCGGTTTCCTCCCACAGACCAAAAACATGCATGTTAGGCTGATTGGTAACTCTAAATTCTCTCTAGGTGTGAGTGAGAGAGTGAATAGTTGTTTGTCTTGTTTTTCTCTCTGTGGCCCTGTGATGGACATGCGATCTGTCCAGGGTGTACCCTGCCCCTCGCACAGTGATTGCTGGACATGGGCACCGGCGACCCCCATGACCCAAAATGGAAGAAGCCAGTAAAAGATAATGGATGGATGAAACCAATAGGACTCCTTCTTCAGCTTGACAGACTCTTTAACCTGGGGTATCCACCACCAAGTTCAAGGATGGCCATCGCAAGAAGCACCAACAACCTTGAGGCCACAGCTCAAGGCAGCTACCTCAACAAGTGAGGTGCAGAACATGTCCCACTCTAACTCAATGCCCCCCACCTTAACTGGGATGTGGTTAAAGCTCTCCTGGAGGTGTGAGTTGAAGATCTCTCTGAAGGGTTCTTCTACCAGATGTTCTCAGCAAATACTCACTACACGTTTGTGTCTACCGGGTCTGTCCGGCATCTTCTCCCACCATTTGATCCAACTCACTATCAGGTAGGGATCAGTTGACAGTTCTGCTCCTCTCTTCACCCTAGTGTCCAAAACAAACGGCCGCAAATCAGATGACACGACTATGAAGTCAATCATCTATCTATGACCTAGGGCGTCCTGGTGCCAAGTGAACTTATGGACACCCTTATGTTCGAACATGGTGTTCGTGTTGGACAAACTATGACTAGCACAGAAGTCCAACCACAGAACACTGCTCGGGTTCAGATCACAGAGGCCATTCCTCCCAGTCACATCCCTCCAGGTCACACTATCATTACCCATGTGGGCATTGAAGGCCCCCAGCAGAATAAAGGAGTTCCCAGCTGGGGCACCTTCCAGCACCCCTACCAAGGACACGTCGGCCACTGCCCATGGCATCATGCACCTGACTTTTATGGCCTTTCCTGCAGGTGTTGGGTCCACAGGAAGGCAAAACCATGCTGCTCCTTCGGGCTGAGCCCGACAGGGCCCCATGGGTAGAGACCCATTCATCTGGTGTTTGCAGACAAGGCCAAGCTCTAGGGTGGGGCCCCGGTAACCCACGTCTGGGTAAGGGACACTGAGCTCCTTGTTTTTTCCTGTCCATATAAGTCTTCTGAATCGCTCTTTGTCTGGCCTGTCACCTAGAACCAATTTGCCTTGGGAGACCCTACCGGGGACAATTATAATTGCCCCTGACAGCATAGCTCCTAGGATCATTCAGGCGCACAAACTCCTCCACTATGATAAGGTGGCAATTGAAGAAGGAGCCAAGATGATAGTGTCTTGTAATTCTTTAAGGGTTAGCTCTTCATCTTCATTCTGTTTATTTATTTTTCACCTCTTGCCTTTTTAACTTGGTGTTTCATTGCCGTGTTCGGGGAAGATGTACATTCTTCTCCGTCTTTAGAGGGACATACATACGAGTGAATCTCTTCAACACTCCTTTTGTCTTTAATTATATCAATTTCCATATTTCCTTCTACATGTGAAGTCTTATTTGCAATGTTTGGTGATGGCATTCTTAGCAAAAGATAGAGAGTAGTAAGCTGGTTTTGCCACGTTTATAGCATGTGACTCTAAAATGTCATTAAAAGCTGAAGACTTATCTGAAATAGTCTTCTGAGTATCCTGATGCATGCTCAATAATCCAGGTAGAAAAATCTAAAAATTAAGTCTGGTCCTCTGGACATTAAAAAAACAAAACAAAACCAAAAAAAAGTGTAGAAACGTTTCATCTTTCATCCGAAAGACTTCAGTCTGAAGAAGTCTTTCGGATGAAAGATGAAACTTTTTTTTGTTTGTTTGTTTGTTTTTTGAATGTCCAGAGGACCAGACTTAACTTTTTTAGAGTCTTTTGAGTGTTTTGGTTGGTGAATCAGTTGTCATCAAATCTTTAGTGGAGACAGAATATCTTTTTAAAATGTAGTCTTGCAGCAAAATGGGCTCAGGCATTAAAGTTTGACTGCTCCTGCCACCGTCTTGCACGGCTCTCCTCTTGACACGTCAGGTTGCGTTTAGGAACCTTTTTGGGTTTTTTCCTGCCTGAATGAGGTCACAGGTCAAGGCTAAAACCAGTCGTATGAAAACATTCAGGAACAAGAACTGAAACCAGGTGAAAAGAACAGCAAAAGTCCAAATAAAAACCTTTAAAAAGTCTGGAGAACTGCTGATCCAGATGACTTGGAAGGACTACAGGAAAGCATGGCTAATTGAAAGATTAGATCAAGACTTTTGCACGGTTCTGACCCTCCAAGTTCAGGTTCTGTTGTGGGTATATTTACCAGAGTGTGTGTCCTGCTCTGGCAGGTGGAACTTCTCCGTTCTGAGGAATCTGCTCCCAGCTCAGGTCATCAGGAGAAACTGTGAAGATCAGCCACACCTGAGTCAGGAGGACACGCTAACCGCTAATGGGCTTAAAATGGCTGAAAATGCCTGAAAGTGGTCAAAAGTGCTGAAAAAACTGAGCTCTACTGTTCCGTGTGTTTTACCTGTTAGCATGTAGAAATCACTGAAGTAAACAGGAGTGTCCTGAAAAAATTAATCTGATCTTTACATTTAGCTTCTTCGGCTGATCATAAAGAACAGATAAGGGAGACGGGTTATTCTTTTTATTTTACATTTTAATGATTTTTGTGTTTCTTCACCTGTTGGTTGATGCTGCAGGCGCCCCCGAAAAGGAAGGCAACATTTCCAGCCACAGCTAAAGCGTGGCTGTGTCTGAAAGATACAAACCGATCAGTTATAAGCACAGCAGAGTAACAACTAAAATGGACCCTGACGCCAACAGAACCTGGTCCGAGGAACTCACCGAGGACTCGGACGGTCCCCCCTCACTTCTTTATCCACCCAGTGACCGCTAGCTAAAGCCATCGACTCTGCTGCTGAACCTTTAACCACACACAGAACGACTGTGTTTTTATTGTTTCTTTACGCTCCGAACGATTTGTACACCACTTCTGCAAACTTTGACCGTTCATAAAACATTTGGCTCGTTCAGCAGACAGCTGCTGTGGCTGCTGGACATTGAGACATTTATAATTTTCAAAACATTTAACTTTAATTACAAATATTTTTCCAACAAAGAATAAGAACTGTCCAGCTCCTCCACAGCATTGTTCTTTTCGAAACCTGCTTCAGCTACTGGCTCTGTTTTTGTCTGTAGCTACTGTTCTGTCAATTTTAGCCAGCCTTTTGCTACTTTGAGCATTTAGCTAATCGGTTGCTACTTTAAGTTTTTAGTCATCCTTTGTATTTAAAAGCTATCCGTCCATTATTTTTACCTGCTTCTTCCTTTTAGGGTCATGGGGGTAGCTGGTGCCCATGTCCAGCAATCACTGTGCGAGAGACGGGGACATCCTGGACAGGTCTCAAATATTTAAAAGCAAAAATTAGCTAAACTGTAGCTAAACGCCAACTATAGCTAAATCAAAACTAAACGGTAAAATCTGTAAAACTAGCTTAAACTTAATTGTAGAAAAGGTAGCTAAAAGGTAAAAAAAGCTAAAGGTTATGTAAAAGTATCAAAACCACAGAGAAAAGCTAAAATGAGAAGAATGGGAGTCAAAAGCTAAAGCAAAATTGCTGTGAAAAGTCTAAAATTAAAACACTACAATGTAAACTGTAGCCAACTAAAGATAAAGAAGCAAAACTACAGCTAAAAGCTTAATTCTGCAAAATCATAACTAAAAGCAGCAAAATGATAGCTAAAAGTTTAAAGTAACAAAACCATAACTAAGAGGACAATTTAAAGAATAATAGCTAAAATATAATCAGCAAAATTGAAGCTCAGATCTACAAGTCATAGAGCATTAAAAAAGTAAAAAAAAAAAAAAAAAAAAAACAACTAGTAAAATGTTAAAATCAGCTAAAGCCTAAATGTAACAGAAAGCTAGCTAAAATCTAAAGGGAGCTAAATGGAAAATAAAAGTAGAGCTAAAAGCTAAAATTTGCTAAATCACAGGTAACCAATTAAATTGTAGCTTAAAGTTTGAATTAGCAAATTGGTGGCTAAAAGCTCAATGGCAACAAAAGACTAAAAGTGGCAAAATGGTAGCTAAAACCTAAAAGTACAGAAACTGTAGCTAAAAGGTAAAAATAGCTAAACTCACACTGAAACTCAAAAAAAGCTAAATGATTAAAAGTTACAAGCATATTTAGACAAATAATAAATTTCTAACAGAAATGGGCACAGCTAACCTAAAAGTTAGCTTTGTTAACCCTAAACAGGTAAAAAAAATGTGGAAGCTAAAGTTAAACTGCTAAGCGCTCGGACAACTGTCACTTTATGTCATGTCTTCGTCTCCTTCCAGTTGAAGCTGCTTCGACCAATCATGTCTTGTCACATGTACACGTAAGCCAATAGCATGCCTAACGGACTCTTTAAGACACGCCCACAACAGACAAGAACCAGATGTGAATTTTGATAGTGGTATTAAAGCTGGCATAATCTAATTTAGAGGAAGTTAATTCCATTAACAGTTTACAAAGATAGCGAAAACACTAATCTGCTAAACAAAAAATTAGTTCTGCTGTTAGCGGATTGACGGAACTGTGCCCACCACCACTGACAATATTTTAGGAGGAAGTGAAGAGACGATAGACAAACTTACTTTAAATGACGTAAATGTTTTAGAAATAGGACGGCATGGAGGCACAGTCAGTGGAGCTGCCACCTCTCAGACAGAAGGTCGTCGGTTCAATACCCGATCGGGGGCCTTTCTGGGTGGAGTTTGCATCTTCTTTCCGTACATGTGTGGGTTTTCTCCAGGTACTCCAGTTTCCTCCCACAGACCAAAAACATGCACGTTAGACTGATTGGTAACTCTAAATTGTCCCTAGGTGTGAGTGAGAGAGTGAATGGTTGTTTGTCTCTATGTGTCCCTGTGATGGACTGGAGACCAGTTCAGAATGTCCCTATGATGGACTGAAAACCTGTCCAGGGTGTCCCTGTGATGGACTGAAAACCTGTCCAGAGTGTCCCCCATCTCTCGCAGAGTGATAGCTGGACATGGACACCAGTGACCCCCGTGACCCGAAAAGGAAGAAGCAGGTAAATATCATGGATGGACAAATGTTTTAGAAATGATCAAAACACAAAGTTTGATTGGACAGCAGTTTAAATGCTGAGTCAGCTTTCACCAAGAGCTCTGGAAGAAGAGTCAGCATTTCAGAACCAGCTGGTTAAATTTACAGAGACGTCGGCAGCTCTAAAACGTACCTGATGAAAAGAAAAGTCCGTATTCTGCTGAACCTGAGAGTCCACAAGAGTCGCTTCAGCTCACAGTCCAATGGCGGTCCTCCTCCTCAGCTTACAGGTAGGTTTACCTCCTGTTGCCAGGCAACCATGTGAACCAGGGCGTAACAGGTCACATGTTGCAGCCCTGGACAGGTCTCCAGTCCATCACAGGGACATAGAGACAAGCGAGACAAACAACCATTTACTCTCTCTCATCTAGGGACAATTTAGAGTTACCAATCAGCCTAACATGCATGTTTTGGTCTGTGGGAGGAAACCGGAGTAGCTGGAGAAAACCCACGCATGCACGGAGAGAACATGCAAACTCCAACATGCAAAGATATATGGTTAGCACATGGTTCAAACAAGTCAGGGAGAGTAGCTAAATTAAAAGATAATTTCAAAGACAAAGTTTTAGATGACACATCTGATAAGGGTCATTGGATTTTCATAGTGGTTGAATTTCACTCAGACTTTTTTTGCTGGGCAATATTTATGGTTATAATTCAGATTCTTTAAATGTGATTTTCTTGAAGGAGCTTGTACTAAATTTCCATCAGCGAAGGTTATTTTAGGTGGAGATTTTAATATGGTTTGGTCCACTCAGCTGGATAGACATCCCTCAAGACGCAGAAGTGGACAGACCCATCTCATGGATTTCTCTAACTGGCTGAATTTATTGGACATATGGAGACATCGTCATCCCACAGACAGACACCTGGAGAAACAATTCTTTATCTGCTCAGTCTAAAATTGACTTGTGGCTTATTTCATCCTTATTGCATCCTCTTCATCAGACTCTCATACAACAACAGAGTGTTTTCAGTCAGAGGCTTCTTCAAATCCGTTGTAGGACAGACCGCTACAAGAGATCCTTCCTGCCCACAGCCATCAGCATCTAGAACAACTCTTTAATGAAACCAGGATGATGAGTTATAACAACATTTAATTCCCCTCTGAGATTAATAAAGTATTTTTGAATTTGAATTGAATTTGAATTTCAGAGGACATACAGTAGAAACGAGTAATACAGGTAAAGATTTACTCTGCTGTGTTAAGTGATTACAAAACCATTTATTTAAAATTAAATCTTTTAAATAAGGAGAGTTAAAGAGTCTTTGACCCCCTGAAACTTAACAATTCATTATTAAATAATATAGAACTTACATCATTCATTCAAAAACTAATCAAACAGTATTGGACAATCGCTCAAACAAAAAAAAAAGTTTGGGAAATATTGGGACTTAAATATGAAATTAGAAGACATTTAATCCAATTTAGCAAAATAATAAACTGTATAAAAAAAAGAAAAGTTAGAGCAATCAAGTAGCTCTATCTCAGACATTACTACCAATATGTCAGATGATGAAGCTCTTGTAACACAACTACAAAATATCAAGAAGAATTATATGATTTACAAAAAGAAAAGGAACGTGGTGCTTTTATTCGGTCTAGATTAAAATGGAAAGAGGAGGGTGAAAAAAACCCAGCAAATACTTTTTTAACGTGGAAAAAAGAAACGGAAAGGAAATCATTATCTAAACTAAATATAAATGATTCTGTAACAAAAGATTATTCTGTCATTTCAAAATATGTGTCAAATTTTTATAGAAATCTTTATAAAAATGACATCTGTATAGATAGCACAGATATATTCAATTCAGTTCAATTCAAAAATACTTTATTAATCCCAGAGGGAAATTATATTAATTATATATTAAATTGAGCCTCGAAGACTCATTTACAAGAGAGACCTGTTACATACAACATACAGGCAGATGAGAAGAAGAGAACACAAGGGTGAAGAAAAATCATGTCTCACACCATGTCCAGGCTGGGAAACGGTAAAAAATGAAAATAAAAGACCTCACAACATAAAGCAGCATTATACAATGACATCATAATTATACAATGACATCATAATTATACAATGACGTCAAAATACATTTGTGCATAGAGGTGGACAAAGGTGTTGAGTTATCCATACACACTCCAGAGTTCCAAAGTTCTGATAGGATGATAGTGTCTATCAGCATCATGGTTCTGATAAGGTCACAGATGTCTTCGGGAGTGTGTGTGGGGTGTATGTGTGTGTGTGTGTGTGTGTGGGGGGGGGGGGGGGGGGGGGCAGAGCTTCTAGCAGCGTATCCTCCTGGAGAAATTTGAGACAAAATGGCTTGTCCAAGGTCAGCGGGGAGGCTAAATTCAGATAAACAACAATTGTTTGGGCCGCCAGACTCTGTTTTCTGTCTGCTTTCAAGTTCTGCTGGTACACTCAATGGCAAATCCAAACAGCCAGATTTGTGGACATTCCACCCGGTCCATACTCAATTAGCTTTCTCCAAGATTGAAACCTTCATGCTGGTGAGTTCCAGGAGCCGCAAGTGACCTACGATTCTCAGAATCGCGTCCAGCTTGCAGTTGAGTTCATTAAGCATATGAGTCTGACAGCTCGAGGCACAGATTAATCCTTCACATAAGGCTGGCAGCTTTACCATGGCCGAAACTGCTGCCGATGTCTTCCAAATTTGTCAATATCCTAGGTATCCACCGATTTCAAAGAGCAGAAACCCTGTTATCATAAATCCAATAATGTACACATCTTCTACGTCCTCCACAGACAGCACAGATAGGA